GATGGTTGGACTTGTTGATCTTGGAAGTCTTCTCCCACCTTAAGAATTCTAAGATTCCATGATTTTGAAGTTCCATCCCACCCCGCTTTTAAATCTCCTACTTGGTTTGTGAACTGCTGTTGCACACTGGGTTGGACAATGTGTTGGACAAGCTGAATTATAGAAAAAATGTCCCTTTAACAACAGTGGAGTTGATGTCCCAAAACCTGACGACTCCCAAGGGACTGGGGATGGGATTCAGGACAAGAGCAGCGTGGAATTAGAAGGATCTCCTCCCCTTTCCAATGGATAAAGAGACAAATCGCAGCAAAACTTCCACGACAGAGGGTGAAGACTGTCAGGATTTGTATCCAAGCTCCCTGATTTTTTTCAGACCCCTTTGCAATGCCCCTGGGGTGGGGGACAGGAAAGAATTCCCCATCCTGTGGGACCCCTGAGCTTTCCTCCACGTGCTCCCTCAAGGAGATCCCACCTTGCACAGTAGAAAAGTAGTTTCTGTTCTTATCTTTCCTTCCTTTTTTTCCTGTCTTGTGCCTTTTCCATGGTGGCCACACCACCCCCAGGCTGAGGCTGAGCTCCTCAGCTATAAAGGGTTTCCGTGTCACTTGGGATGCAGCATCCAGGTCCCATGGACAACTAATCCCTCCAAATCCAGGCTGTTATTCCATGTTTCTGTGAAGCTCAGCACACAGACCACAGCCTGGCCTTCCTGGGCGCTGGGGAAGCACAAAAAAACTACCAGATGAATCTCAGATAAAGACTTTTCCAGGGAGGAATTCTGCATTTTAAAACTGAGGGAAGGAGCTCCTCAGCTATAAAGGGTTTCCATGTCACTTGGGATGCAGCATCCAGGTCCCCATGGACGGCCAATCCCTCCAAATCCAGGCTGTTATTCCATGTTTCTGTGAAGCTCAGCAAAGCCCCACCGTGCACACCACAGCCTGGCCTTCCTGGGCGCTGGGGAGGCACAAATAACTACCAGATGAATCTCAGATAAAGACTTTTCCAGGGAGGAATTCTGCATTTCAAAACCGAGGGAAGGAGGGAAGCATCTAATGATGCCGAGAAAGAAGAAATGAATATTAACTGAGGTAACTTCAATCTCTTTTCAATCTCTCCCTCCCTTCAGACAGAGCAGAAAGGAGGGATAATGATCAAAACAGGGATTGTGAAAGCAAAGTGTGAAAGCAAAGCTCCCAGGCCTTGTCCCTCAGGCACCAGGAGCGAGGCCAGAGCCACTCTCCGAGTCCCCCAGTCCTTGATGCTCCCGGCAGGAGGCCCTTGGATGTGTCCGAGATGATGCTCCAGCCCAGCCAAGTTCTGGGATGAATGGACTCCACGGGGGGTGCAGGTCAGGGAACATTGATGTTAAACACTAAATCCTCCTGCTTTTGTGCTGGAGCAGCTGGAATCCGGCTCCATCCAGCTCCTGGATTTACAAAGGGAACTGCACAGACCACCCCTGACAAGGCAGAGCAGTGATCACCTGAATCCATGGATTTCTTTTCAGTTCAGCCTGTGGGACGCTGTGCTGTGAACCCCCACATTCATTTCTGCAGCCCTTTAGTCCTTTCTGTGCATTAATAAGACAAATTCTGGGGGGGAAAAAAAACCCCAATACACAAAGTGCTCTGTGTTACCAGAAACACCTTAATTTGGATTTTATTTGTGCTGAGGGATGGGTGACGAGTCAGCTCTGATGATATTTCGGGGTTTGGGTGCTGGAATGAAGCTGAATTTGAGTTTAAGCCCAGAGGACTGTTCTGCAGAGGGAGATGTGGGCTGTGCTCAGGCCACCACGTGTGTTTAGGGTGGAACAGGAACATCACCCAAACAACCAGACCCCTGCAGAGGGACCTTGTGCAGTTCCTACACTGAGCTGGGAGGCCTGAACACCCTCATTCCTTCCTCTCCTGCCCCAGGAACACCTCAGGCTGGTTGGGAAGTTTAAACTCAGTTAAAACCAGTTGTTACAAACTGGATGAACCACTTAGGAGGGAGACAACGGACTGCGAAAAACCCACTTGTAAAACACAATCTGAACACTCTGAAATATCCTCAGGTCTCTCCAATTTGCCTTTTTTTTTTGCAGTGCTTGGGAATTCCAGGATTATTCACACACTCCTTGCTTGGAATTGCTCCAATCAGGCCCTTCTTTTTTTTGGTCATTCAATCAGTAATTAGGCTGAGTGAAGAAGAAAGCCAAAGAAACATTTGGGAAAGGATTTTTACTGTTCCAAGGATTTAATATTCGGGCATTATAGACCTGAGTAAATTCTAATTGTGTTTCTAACTCTACGTTTAATAAATGGACCATGGAGAGGTTAAAAAAAAATAAAATAAAAAAGGGCTGTGAGCAGTGGGAGGAAAAAACAGGAAATGAGGCCATGAATCAAATCTGGTTTCGGAGATGACAGTGGGGCTGGATACAAATCCAACAGTCAGATAAAAGGGTATCAACATAAATAATCACAGATTAATATGACATTATGTTAATATATTACACTTTAAGGCCCATGGGTAAATCTGAGGGCCCTGACCTGCTTTATGTCACATTCACCTTTTCTTTATTTTGCTCAGAAAAAGGGGAATAATTCATCCTTGATCAGGGTGTGAATTTTGATGGCTCAGGAAATCAATCCATGCAGGTTTGGCTCTCCCTGGATATCAACAGGGAACTGTTGTCGATGTGGCAAAATCCAGGCAGGTTCTGGTCTTGAACTAAAGACAATAAAACTCTGACTATGAAAAGTGAAATAGTGACTAAAACATGAATTCTGAGGTGAGCCCTGAATCTGCAGCTTCTGCAGGAGCAGAATTGGGACTGAAAACAAAGGAATTCAGCCCTTTTTTATAACCAGCTCTTTGGATGAGTTTGCAAAGCTCGTTTAGAGGAATTTGATGGCTTGGATTAATTTGCCCTGCAGGTCTGACTTGCGCCAAGAGCACCAAGGGCAGCAGGATTTGGCACAGCAGGAGTGTGAAGTCCTGCACGTGGGTCAGGGCAACCCCAGCAGGAATCCAGGCTGGGAGGAGAATGGATTGAGAGCAGCCACGAGGAGAAGGACTCGAGGGTGTTGGTGGAGGAGAAGCTGGAGACGCCCCATCCCAGAACCTCCCGTGCCCTGGGCTGATCCCACAGCGGGGGCAGCAGGGCAGGGGGGGATTCTGCCCCTCTGCCCCCTCAGGGGAGACCCCCCTGCAGAGCTGCCTCCAGCCCTGGGAACAACAGCAGGAGGACGTGGAGCTGCTGGAGAGAGTCCAGAGGAGGCCCCAGAGCTGCTCCCAGGGCTGGAGCCCCTCTGCTCTGGAGCCAGGCTGGGAGAGCTGGGAATGTTCCCCTGGAGAAGAGAAGGCTCCAGGGAGACCTGAGAGCCCCTTGCAGAGTCTAAAGGGGCTCCGGGAGAGCTGGAGAGGGACTGGGGATAAGGGATGGAGGGACAGGACACAGGGAATGGCTTCCCAGTGCCAGAGGGCAGGGCTAGATGGGATATTGGGAAGGAATTCCTGTCTGGGAGGGTGGGGAGGGCTGGAATGGATTTCCCAGAGAAGCTGTGGCTGCCCCTGGATCCCTGGAAGTGTCCAAGGCCAGGCCGGACGGGGCTTGGAGCAACCTGGGCTAGTGGAAGGTGTTGTGGTTGGACCTGGATGGTCTTTGATGTCCTTTCCAACCCAACCCTTTCAGGATTGTCTGTATGTCCTGAACATACATCGTTTCCTCAGGAAATCTTCACTTCCAGCAGCAGGCCTGGGTTCCGCCCGGCAGGGAAGACTAATTCCAGACTTTGAGCATTTGCAGACTTTGCTACAACGTTCATTTGCTGATTAAGGAGAAACTTAGGACCTATCCAAGCCCTTCCATGCCGAACATTTCCCAGGAACAGACGACCAGCAGGGGAGAAGGGGGAAAGTCACACAGTACAACGTGCTCGCCGTGACAGTGACCGAGCAGGACGATCCTCCCCGGAGCAATCCCTGGCAGCAGGTGTGCAGTGAGCCATCCCCACCTCCCCCAGCCAGGCTTTTAAAGTCCTGAGACTCCAATTTAACAGCAAGTTGTTCGTGGGCTCATTAGGATTTATTTGGGAATGTCTGGCAACGCCGTCCTCCGCTGCTCTTTGAGTGGAATTTATGTCAGGAAAACTGAGCGTTGAGTGGTAGAAGAAATGGTTTTGCCACCGAGGAATATGTTCAGACAAGGACAAGGTTGGACAAGAGGATTGTGTTTTAGCAAAGGATCAGGCAGTTATAATCTGGGTATGGGAATGGGTATGTGGAAAAGCACATGGCACCAGAAAAAGTGAAGGATTTTAACATAATAATAATAATAATAATAAAAATAAAATAATAATAATATAAAATAATGATGATGATAATATTAATAATAATCAGCATCTAAACCTTTTATGGTGCACTGGG